ATATATATATATATATATATATATATATATATATATATATATATATATATATATATATATATATATATATATATATATTCACCCCCGTCTCTATCTTTGAGTGTACACACATAAGAATTTCGAGAAAAAATAAAGGGCAAATTACCAAAACCCCCTGAGGTAAGCCTAAATAACGAAAATCCTCCCCATGTTCTCGTAATTACGAAAACCCCCCTTGACTAACGGTTGACCGAATTTTTTTAACCGAAAACGTGAAATGTCTATTATATCCTTCTGTTAAATATGTAAAAAATAAAGGGCAAATTACCAAAACCCCCTGAGGTAAGCCTAAATAACGAAAATCCCCCCTGACATCCCTTTCAGTTGATGATTTATTGCTTTTATAAATTTATTTATTACTTTGTAATTTGTATTGATAATTTGATATTATAATTTTTTATTTTTTTTATTTATATATTTTAATTGATTTTATTCATCCAGAGGAGTATTCATACGGATTTATGCTTTTAGCTTGAATGATGCATGGTTGTATTTCTCGAATTGTAAAATATTTAATTTTATATATAAAAAATAATTAAATTTTGAAATCTCATTCATTGATTTTTTTTAATCCAATAAAAATACATTGTACATTCATAATGATTGATTATATTTGGGTTTAATTTAAGAAAAATAAGTATTTTGCAGACACTTATATATTTTTTTATTTATATATTTTAATTGATTTTATTTATCCAGAGGAGTATTCATACGGATTTATGCTTTTAGCGTGAATGATGCATGGTTGTATTTCTCGAATTTTAAAATATTTAATTTTATATATAAAAAATAATTAAATTTTGAAATCTCATTCATTGATTTTTTATAATCCAATAAAAATACATTGTACATTCATAATGATTGATTATATTTGGGTTTAATTTAAGAAAAATAAGTATTTTGTACATTCATAATGACCCGTCATTAAATAAAATGCTTACAATTACCCCCCTAAGGGTAATTTCGTGTACAAGGGCAAAATTGGTATTATCGGAGGAATATTCGGGAGAATCAAAAAGATTCTATCGAGTCTAACACCGTTAGAGCGATTTGTAAGACGTCTGCATACCTCAGGGGGGTTTTGGTAATTTGTCCAAAAATAAATAAGTAAATATATATATATATATATATATATATATATATATATATATATATATATATATATATATATATATATTTTTTTTTTTTTTCTTGAAATTCTTATGAGTATTCAATCAAAGATCGAAACGTGGTTGAATTCATTTTGCTTCACATGCATTCTGAAAAAACGTGGTTTAATTTGTGTCCTTTCAAATGGGGAAGGGTACGATTCATAGTGCAGTGGTGGGGATGAAAATCTCACTCAACGCAACCAATTTTTACAGAGCTTATTTAGTGCACTCAACAATTTGTACCTCTAGAGAGAGTACAAAACCTTAATGAGAGAGCACACGTAGAGCTTGATTTTATTTAATTTTGTTTTTTCATTAGGAAGGTTTAGGTAGGGGTGAGCAAAAAAATCGAGATATCGAAAAACCGAAACGAAGACCGAAAAAAATCGAGCCGATATGCACAGTCCCGACTTAAAATCGCATATACGGTAATTTTTTGTTTGAAATACCGAAAATATCGATTTGTGTATGGAGAATAAAAAAAATTACCGAACCGAACCGTTTTATAGAAAATGACGTCGTTTTGATATATAGTATAAATATTTACCGTCTTCCCCTAGCGCGTCTATATCCTTCAAACGCCTCCATGTAACATGTTTTTTATTAGTTAGTTTTGGTTTTTTATTTGTTAATTTTCTCAAACAAATGTAATGAAAGTCCAAATTCACTGTTAATCAAATATCTATTTTATGCCGAACCGATAGATGAAACCGAAACCGAAAATAGACCAAATTGAGACCAAAACTGTTAACCGAAAACCGAAAACCCGATTAACACCGAACTGAAAAAAACCGATATGTCCGGTTCCTAAAATATGAAAAACCGATATTATCTGTACGCGTTTGGTTTATTGCAAAAATCGAGTTATACCGACCCGTGCACACCCCTAGGTTTAAGTAAATAAATCTTCAAGTTTTACATAAAATAAAGGGTTGCGATTAGTTAGGAGTAGAGATTGAACAGATCATATCAGAGTTTTAACACTTTTATAAAACTTTTAGTAAAATTCCGATTTTTTTTCGAAAGTGAAAAACTAATTTTATTTTAGGGATGGAAAAGAAAATGGAAATAAAAATGAAAAAAATTGTTCAAAAAAGAAAAATCAGATTCCAAATCAGTGGGATACTGAAAAAAAACAACATAATAATTTCGATATCAAAAGTGTTAATTTCGGGAGGGGGCGGGGGGGGTGTCGGAAATTTTTGGAATTATTTTTGTAAATTGAAATCGGAATCTCATATTTATTTCAATTCCAATCCAAAAGAAATTAAAAAAAAAAAAATTGGAAGTCAAAATTTTGGAATTTGTAATTGAATATATTGCTCCAAAATCGAAATGTGGATCGGAGTATGAGGAAATCTAGCATCGAGGTCAATGACCACACCACCTCGTTCCAATAATTTTCATCTTCAGTTGTGATTATCAGATTGAACTACGGTTAAACATTTATAAATTAATACAATTGTGACCATCAAAATTTCATTAATTTAGTGAAATATTAACTTATCAATAAATTAATAATTATTAATTTACACATTAATAAATAACTTATTAATTTATGAAATTACTTTTATTATTATTTTCAATAAATACATTTTTTACATGTATATTATTCATTGTATCATTAGTTCAATGCATTATAATTCCCGTTTCACAAACGGAAGCTCTTAAAGCAGCAATGGTATGAAACGATTTTATATTGAGTTATGAGAAAATTATACCAAAAGTTCTAAGCATGTTAAGAAAAGCGAGGGACGAGATTGATGGTAATGTGAACTTCAACAAGAAACAAGCGACGATTAAATTATATTGTATTAAGCCTTCATAGATCTATAAAATATGTACTCTACCATGTAATTTAAGAATTATTTTTATGCATTATTAATTTATATAATATATGTGGCTTCTTAAATTTTTTGAATGTGTATTATCTTATAAATTTAGCGAATTATAAATTTAGCACGTTGTCCTCGAGTTGGGACCGAGAAAATTTATTATTTAAGCAAAGTTATATATTTATCAGATATTAATTTATTGAGGTTCTACTGTACTAAGAAACGCATAATTTTCATTATCTTATCTAGAGAAGATTCAAGGTTTGCGAGGTTATAGGTTTTGTCAAATACTAAAACATCATCCGATAGTTATATTCAGCTCCTGAATCTCCACCACACCAAAAATCTTGAAATTGCATATTCTTCATTTATCGCATATATTTGTAAAAAAATACCATTATCTTTTATTTCAGGTCTTGAATAATGTGTTGATATCACCTCCTCGAATTATTTCTAGTCGGTCCTTCAACCAATTGTAGTATTTGTACCCATCTTCTAGTGTGAATTAAAGAAAATTTTCTAGCACTCTCTAACAAATTGCTCTAGAAAATCCATAATCAAGCATGGCCTAAATTCGATATATGTTATCAAACGGCTCAATATAGATTCGTTCCGCATTGAAATATATCTTACACAAAATTAAGTCATCAATTAGCATAAATTCTTACATGAAAACATAACAATTAAAGTAAACTTTGTACCTCTTTTTAAAATCTTGTAAATCTTTGTACGTACCTCCAAAACAAACTTTTATGCTATCGAAGAAAGTAGAGATGAACCCGCATGTGGATAACTTAACTGGTTTTCGGGTGGTAAGTTGGCGCAAGAAAGTAGAGATGAAAGGAGTTGGGTATGAAATAACTGGTTCCGGATTTTGACATATTGAATTGTTATTATTTTTTTGAACTGTAATTTAGTAGTTATTAGTTTACTTTTATCGGCATGGGTGTTCCTATTTTTGGAAAATTATGAAATTGTCAGAAAAATCCTGCTAAGTTTTGAAATTTTATAACTCATGTGATTTCCGAAATTTTCGGAACTTTTGGGATTGAAATGAACTTTTAAATTCCAAACAAATTGGAATTGATCATGTACTTACGAAAATTTTCTGCAAAAATTAATTTCGATCCGATCTATTCGACTTTCACCCCTTCTTATGCTACCATGTTTTAATTGGGGAAAAAAAATACAGTTTTTGCCCCTCAAGTTTGCAATGATTCCACATCTGGTCCTCTATATTCACAAAAAACACATTTGGTCTCTCATGTTTCAAAAATTCAACATTTTTAGTCATTTTCCGTCAATTTTCCGTTAAAACTAACGGAATCAAGCATGTGCCCATCAATGACTTAACTAACGGTAAATCGATGAAAATGACCAAAAGCGTTAAATTATTGAAACACGAGGGACCAAATGTATTTTTTGGGAACATAGGGGACCAAATGTAAAATAGGTGTAAACTTGAGGGGTGAAAACTGTAATTGTCCCTTTAATTGGGCGTTTATCACCCAAAAGGAAAATGAAAAAGAAAAAGCCAAAAAAAAAAAAAAAAAAAGGAAAAAGGCCTGCTCAAATAGATCCCGCCTGCTATCAGAATTCAAAAAATCAAACGTACTGTTTGGCCTTCCACTTTTATAGAGAGAGAGAGAGAGAGAGAGAGAGAGAGAGAGAGAGAGAATCTGAGATATCTATGGCCGTCGTGTCAAGAAAAATCGCCGGAGTCTCCAACCCTTCCTTCTCCGGCGCCGACGATCCTCTCCTACCTTGGCTCCGGTACCTTTCAACTTCAATTATTTCTTAGTATACATGAAACAAAATTGCTCAAAATTAAAAGTCACATTTCTCTTAATTAATTGTTTGGATTTCTACCAATTTCAAGGTCAATTTACGAATCACTGAAAACTCAAAGTTCGAATCAGCTCAACGGTTTTACGGATTTCGATTTGCTCGTAGCCAATTGTATTAATACCTTCAAATCCGATCCCCGGTATCGAGATGACATCAGATTTCTCAAGATATGGTTCCTCTATGTAATGCTTTTTCCCCCTTTTCCAACCTTTGTTGTGTTGAAGTTCATTTCAATTCGTGAAAAAAAAAATTAATTTTATCAGTTGAATTGAATTGATATTCTATTTTGTGATTTTTGTGGATTGGGTTTGGGTTTCAGTCGAATTTTATGGTTTAATCTATTAGCTTTTGATTATGGTTGCATATTTTTTTTGTTATTATGACCTAATTTTACTTACTTTATGCTTTGTGATTTTATGAATTATGCTTGTGAAATTTTGTATTTATGTTTCGCAGTTTGATCAACTTCCTAACTTGTGATGTGTAATTGATAGATGGATGGTAGTTCGGATTATGAAAGGGTTTATAAAGAAATGGAGGAACACAGGATTTGTGTGCACAAAGCTCTGCTTTATGAATCATTAGCATTGTTTCTCGAAGCAAAAGGCAGGTTGATTGATGCTTGTATGGTTTATCAACTTGGCATCTCGAGGTTCTTGAACTTCTCTCAATATCGATTTTTTTTTTATTTTTTTAATTTTTTTTATTAAAGTTAGTTGGCAACTTTTTCTGAGTTATGATTCCATGGAAATATGGGTGTTTTTGCATTTCAGAAATGCTGAGCCACTGGGGAGATTAAAGAAAGCTCAGGTGCTATTTCTCGAGAGAATGTCCGAGAGAGTAACTAATGAATCATCTGAGAAGGTATGCTTGATTTGTCTTATTTTATAAGTTGAGAAACAAGAGACCTAAGCGAATGAACTATTATTTTGTGCGTTGTAAATTCCTAAGCAACTCATCTAGATTAACAATACATTTATCTGATTACTATGATGAAAAACTAAGTGAAATTTTTTCATATCTTTCCACAACTTCAATAACCAAACACGGCAATTAGAGAAAGAAGAATGATACTTATCACATTATAATTGACTATTTTATCATCTCATGGATAGTTAACTGCTCACTTCATCGTAGTTTTTTTTTTATTTTATTTTTATTTTTATTTTATTTTTATTTTTATTTTATTTTATTTTTGGAAGTGATACGAGCGAGCCAAATATTGTACATTGATTGGAATCTCGAAAGTTATGCTACTCAATATTTTTTCTAGTATAGTGCGTGGAGGTGTTGTCTAATAACCCTTTGTTCCAACTACATACTTGGCTCTGATTGCACATATTCTGATGCCTTAGCCTGTACATAAAAATCCATGTAATATCAAAGATTAATGCTGCTAGATACTCAAGGTGTGCTTTTTAGTTTTGAAGTACTTAGTCTATATGTGAGAGTTAATAACTGCTAACATAAAGGTATGCTGTGGGAAGAAAAACACGATTAGATGTAGTTGGAGGGAATTTTATTTTCATAGATAAGATGGTTAGTAACATATAATCGGCGAGGCCTATGTTATATTGTAGATTTGTGTGTGGAAAGAGGATTGTACGCATTTGAAGGACCAAACTCCTCATACATTATTGTCCTGGGTATAGTATGGTAATTAAAGGTACTGAATGTCACCGAATTGAAATTTGAAATGTGATTATTGTGATTTCGCCCATTTAAATGGTTAAATTCTGTGAAGCCACTGATGCAAGCATTTCCTTGAGTATCATTTGACTTCAATTAGTTGCAAATAATTCTACTTTGTTTTTGGTTCGGAGGTTAGTTTTGTATCGATCTTTCCTCTAATGCACACTTAAATATGATTTACACTTCTCTACAGGTTGGAAACGGCGTTTCTGCAGAACAGGGTGAAAATCTTGTTAGTCCGTGGTCTGTCGTAATCCTCAAAAACTTATTGCAGAAGATGAATGCTCAAGTTGTACAGTATGAGGTGAGTCAATTTTCTATTACTTTATGTATATTTCATGCATAAAATTTTGTTTAGTGTCTCTGATAAGAAGGTTTCTTTTATCTTTGTAGGGATACCATCCAAGTAACAAAGCATATCCCGGAAAAGTGGCATTATCCACGTTGCTGAAATCAGCTAGGAATAAAAGCATTGATATAGGTAAATAAATTATATACTTTTTACATTGATAGCTCTGATGTCGACATGTCGGTGTTATCAAATGACCATTACTACTACTACCTTACATAGGAGGCTTGACATCATCTGTTCTTACAAAACTTTGAACACCTCATAGTTTATAAGCTTGCAGCCTTATTACATAGATTTTATCTATTAGCAACTCTTAGAATTTTCTTGATCCAATTCTTACTTAGTCGTCATTAGTAAGATGAAAAGTGCCATTTCCCAAAAGTGTTGGGTGGTAATGAACTAGAATGCTAACTGCTGGTTCATTTAACTTTATGGTTCCTTTCGTTGTGCTCTTTCCATTGAATTCAATCTGGTTTTGATTCATGATGTCTGAAGGTGGAGAGAAGTACCAGATTAAAGGATGTGCAGGACAGGGTGGATTTGCTCAGGTGTTTAAAGCATCCGTGAATGGCAATACTGACGATGTTGTTGCTCTTAAGGTAAACTATATTTTGTGATAACTAGCTTCATGGTTGGAAATCCAATACATTAAAATATACTATTTTACTGATTCTGAACATTCCAAATTTGGACAGGTTCAAAAACCTCCCTTTCCTTGGGAATTCTACATGTACCGTCAACTTGACATACGGATTCCAGAAAAAGATGTACGAGTTTTACACCTGCGATATTAGTTTCGAATATTTCGATATTAGTTATAGACTTATAGAGCTCTAGTTTTATTCCGGTCTTTGTTATTCAGAGGAAGTGTTTTGGCTTTGCTCAAAGATTGCATCTCTATTCGGACTACAGTGTCATAGTCTCTGATTATTTAGCTCACGGGACACTTCAGGTTGGCATATAATTTTTCTCAATCACTGATTTTCCTTTTTTTTTAATGAATTTAAATTTCCTCCCTTGTACTTAGTTCATATTGAATTCTGTGCAGGATGCCATAAACTCTAATGCAGTTATAGGTGGGTCTATGGAAGAAGTATTATGTATTTATTACACTATAGAGATGCTTCGAATTCTTGAAACTCTGCACGACGTTGGAATTATCCATGGTGATTTCAAACCTGATAATTTGCTCATGCGCTATTCCAGGTAACTAGTTCTTCTGAATGGCACTATCGTATATGAATCAATATAGCAACTAAATCTGGGAAATGACGTTGCCTTTTTATCAGAATTGAATTAGAGGTTCATGTCAATATAGCATAGCGGTTTGCAATTACTTCGTAGTTATTGATGGAAAAAAGTTGCCAATCTTAATGAAACATCTTCAGTTTTTCTTGGTATCTTCGACTTCTGTCTTTTCTACGTGATGTCTGTTACTTCGCTAGATTGCACTGAAGTTATCTAAGAACTGTCGTATTCTCTATATCTAAAGGTGCCCCTGCTTTTTAATCCGGGTTGTCTTTTTGTTCAATTTAGTCATTTCTTTTTCTTATCAATGGATTGTTGCAATACAAGTTGAAGCTCCTTCCCTTGAGACACCTTTAATACTCAATTGCCTAGAACTGATATTTTTACGGATTTTTATGGTTGTTTTAGCACTTACACAAATTAGTAGTTCTTGTGGTTTATGTGAGAAAATAGGGTAATGCTTGTCTTTTTCTGCATTTTATCTTCTTCTTCTTAGTCCAAGTTCCCCATAGTATAGTTTACTTGCCCAAGGTTTCGTTTTAGTAGGGTAGCTACTGGATGTTTTGCCAGATTTTGATTTGTTATTTCTGGTTACTTTAATGAGACAACTTCAAGAAATTTCCAAGAGTTTGAACAACCAATAGTGCAGAAGCAAACTTCATAAACTACAACACTCCTTCGATTATGTTGTTTGTCATTCAAGTTTTCTTTACAGTTAGTTGATGGCTGGTCAGTATTTGAAAGCACTCAGAATTGTTCTATTGTTTTATTATACTTGGAAGTTAAGTCGATCTTTTTTTAGGGTTCAATATAATCCCATAGTTATGATAAAATCATGTATATATGATGGCAGGGACGATCCAACCGAAGATGAAAATGATTTTCGCCTTCGAGATGGAACATGGCGTGATCAGGTAGTTTTTTTATATATCTACAAATTCAAGCATATTAATCTAAATTCGTATATTATTTAAATATCACATCTGAATAATGAAAATCAGGGGCTATGCCTTGTCGACTGGGGAAGAGGAATAGATCTAAGTCTCTTTCCCAAAGGCACCAAATTTATTGGAGATAGTCGAACTTCTGGCTTTCGTTGCATTGAGATGCAAGAAAATAAGCCTTGGACTTTTCAGGTATTTGCCTTTCTTGAGATAAATAACTACTTCTGATGACAATGTTTTTTTTTTCTTTTTTCGATTTAATAATTTTTCGATGGCATGTTAGGTGGATATGTATGGACTGTGTGTTATAGTTCATTTGATGCTTCACAATTCATACATGGAGATAGAAAAACGAGCATCTTTTGATGGAAACTTCGTCTACCAGCCCAAATCACATTATAAGCGGTTCGTTCTTACTCTTCATTACCTATTTTATGATTGGATCAAAGAATTTTGAAATGAGAAAAATGAAAATAAATTTTCTTTAAAGTATAAACTAAACATTTCCACCATTTTACCCACTGCTTTCGTTATTACAGTATAAAACCGATATTGAATCGTAATTGTTCATGGCCTCTTTTATATTGCAGATATTGGAATGTCGATCTTTGGAAAAAAATGTTCGAAAAGTTACTGAATACCGAACCAGCTGAAGATCACAAGAAGTTGCTGCAATCTTTGAGGGAGTCATTCCAGGATTATATGTGTTCTGATCCAAAGCTAATTAAAAAGCTGAAACAGTTACTAATGAAGCAAAGACAATCCCTCTTAGGCCAATGATATCAGTTTCTTCGCTGAATCTTTGTGCTACTGACCGTCGGTAAGATCTCTTACTACTTTACGATCGTATAAAAACTCCCATCGTACACACACACACACACACACACACACACACACACACACACACATATCACATACTTTTAGACTTTATAAGCTTACTTAGATCAAATAAGACCATAGTTATTAGTGACGATTTTGTAACCGGAAAATTACAGTTTTCATCCCTCAAGTTTGCATTGATTCACATTTGGTCCCTCATGTTCACAAAAAGCACATTTGGTCCCTCGTGTTTGAATAATTTAACACTTTTGGTCATTTCTGTCAATTTACTGTTTGTCCGTCAGTTAAAGCAGTGACGGGCACACACATGATTCCGTTATTACTAATGGGAAATTGACGGAAAAGACTAAAAGGGGTTAATTTTGGAAACATCAGGGACCAAATGTTTTTTTTTTTTTTTTGTGAATATGAGGGATCAAATGTAAAATTGGTGCACACGAAGAAAGTTATAATTTTCCCATTTTTTAAACTATACCTTATGTTAGTAAAAAATATGTATACATATTTTTCAAAAAATAAGTTAAGATCTTGCTATATCTTATTTGAGAAGTTAAAAAGCTAACAAGTGTAAGAAACAATTTAAGGGAAATTACAGTTTTCATCCCTCAAGTTTGCACTGATTTCACATTTGATCCCTCATGTTTATAAATAAATATATTTGGTCCCTCGTGTTTCGATAATTTAACACTTTCGGTCATTTCCGTCAATTTACCATTAATTCGTATATTAAGATAGCGATGGGCGTAGGTTTGATTCTGTTAGTACTGACGGAAATGACTAAAACATTTGAATTTCTGAAACATGAGGGACCAAATGTGGAATCAATGCAAATTTGAGGGATGAAAACTTTATTTTTCCCAAACTATTTAGGAGAACTTAATAGGATATTAGATGAATTTCTTTAAGTTTAATATTCACATTCGAACTCGCTTGTTATTTACTTCATGTATAAAATAAAAGTTATTGGGAAAGATACAGTTTTGGTCCCTCGAATTTACACCGATTTCACATTTGATCCTTCGTGTTTACAAAAAATACATTTGATCTCTTATGTTTCAAAAATTCAACATTTTTAGTCATTTTTATCAATTTTATGTTAGTAATAACGGAATCAAGTGTGTGTCCATCACTTTCTTAACTGACAGAGTAACGATAAATTGACGAAAATGACAAAAAAATGTTAGATTATTGAAACATGAGGGACAATATTTTTTTTATTTTTTTTTGTGAACGAGACCAAATGTGAAATCAGTGCAAACTTGAGCTATGAAAATTGTAATTTTTCCAAAAGTTATTATTATATTTATTTTTGCTCATTAAATTTTATAAACTCTCGTTATACAGATTTGTGAAGGCAGTGGCAGATTGGAATGTTTTAGTATGGATTTAGACAATTTGTTAAAGTAAAAAATATTGTTGTACGGATGGGCTGACATAAACTGAAGTGCAAATACGTAATGTAAACTGATGTGCAAATATGTATTCAGACAACATTGTATCAATTTAAGTTCAATTGGCTTTGTACGTATTGCTTATTATACGAGAGCATAGGCTTACTCACGGTACCTTAATTTAAGAAAGAAAAAAAATGGTAAGAAAAGAAAGATTAACTTGCATTGTGTTGATATTAAAGAACTTGACGATTCAAAGTTCAAATTAGAGGACTTGCCAATTCAAAGTTTCACATTCTCATCAACAAGGGTTTTGAGGGTTTTTATTTTGAATAATTTTGAGTTATTTTAGCTTAAACTAGATTTTTGGCCGGTGCGATGCACGGGATTGAAGTAAAATTAATACAAAATAAAGTTCAATTTAAACGATAAAATTGAAGTTTCAATTCATTTTGATGTTTGCTATATGTAATGATGATAATCCCCCATCTATAAACTTTTTTTTGCCAGTTCATGTAGAGGTTTATTTATGTTTTTGATGTAAATGGTTGTTTATTTATTTTATCTCAGTTAATGTAGAGGTTTGACGAATGTTCTTCTTTATCTCCCATACATGCCCCAATAAATTTATGGTAAATCAATGATGGCATTAAATCTCAAAAGTTTCTCAAGAGTAACTTTACTTTTATTAATAAGATAACAACCAAATGTTTTTCGAAATAATTAAATAATTTTTCTATAAAATTAATATTAAATAAAATGACAATTTTAGTGGGAAAAATACGAAGATTTGGGGCCAAAAAGTCCGATGACTTACCGGATTTATTAAACTTGATTATACTAAATAAAATAAAACTATAAAATTAATTAAATAAATAAATGACAATTATAAGATAACAACAAAATATTTTTCTAAACAATTAAATATTTTTCCCATAAAATTAATATTAAGTAAATTAACATGTTTAGAGAGACAAAATACGTAGAGACAAAATACGTAGATTTGGGGACAAAAAGTTTGGATACTTAACGGATTTATTAAACTTGATTATATTAGATAAAATAAAATAATAAAATTAATTAAATAATTAAATGACAATTATAACTATCAAAGGAGTGGTAAAAATTTCTTGGGGTATACGAGAAGCAACCTTACTTTTATTAATAAGATAAGTGGATTTGGGGTCAAAAAATGTGGGTACATAATGAATTTATTAAACTTGATTATGTTAAATGAAAAAAAAAATAATTATATAAATAAATGACAATTATAAGTATCAAATGAGCGAAAAACATTTTCTTGGGTTTACCTGAAGCAACCTTACTTTTATTAATAAGATACTGAATTTCTTAAGAAACAACTTTGAGATTATATGATATTCAAATTGTCCTCGAACTATGGGTGTAAATGAGAACTAGCCGGTTTATTAGCCCAGTAAACTGGCTCGATAAAAGTTCGTTCCAATTCGACAAATTAGAGTTTGAGCTCAATGAGATTTAGAGCCCGTTTGGCTAAGTTTATTTTAAAGAGCTGATAAGCTCTTACGTCTGCTGTTACATCTTATTTTCAGAAGTAATTTTTAAAGTGTTTGGGTAATGAGCTTATTTCCTATTTTTACTCATTATAAGATCTTAAATAAAATGGGTCATTAGCAATAAGCCCCTCGTATAGCTAAGCAATGGTGATATGTCCACCCCTTAAATATTTCTTTGTGATAACCCTCTAGAATTTTATTCCCAATAGTACCCTTGTGTTAATTAGCTAATTCCTAAAAATTTGCTACCAAATAAATAAATAAAAATGATTTGTTTTTAATTTTTTTTATTATTTTCGGACATTACTTAGCATTTTTTTTAATTCTTAAATATTTTTTAATAAAAATAATTTTTTTTAACAAAAAAATTAATTTTTTTTTCTCGACAAGTTTACTACGCCGAATATGACTATAGTCTAATATGACGATATGTGACTATATCAACGGTAGTCATATTCTTGCTCTATATTGCAGTTTTTTACATTTTCAACTTAAAAATTTCGATTATATAGTGTAGTACAATCATGTTTACCAAATTATATAAAACAAACGAAGATTTCCTAATATTTACAAAAATAATCGAATCAACATCCACACAAAAAATCACAATTTGAATCTTGTTATTACAAGTCAACTCGAAACGAGAATATAGAACATATTCGAATATGACTACATTCATATTCAACTATAGTCATATTCGAATATGACTATAGTCATGCTACTGTTACTGCTCAAATGTGAAATTGTATGTTCTGATCTGCAAAAAAAAAAAAAAAAAAAAAAAAAAAGAGAGCGACATCGAAACAGACAGAAAAAATTACAAAACTTAAATATGACTATATATGATACCTCATACAACTATGTATGTATATGACTAAAAAACTCATTCTAGCCATTTGGCTTGCAAGCTGCTCCATTTTCATTAGTACATTTCATAGCCACCGCCACTATTTATTCAGAAGTTTTCTCATCGGATATGCAATAATGCTCATACGACATCCTCTCAACAAAAAAAGGCCTAATTAACAATAATTGGAATATCTCGTCCGTACAGAATATAGCAATTATGCTCGGAATATTCTGTCTAAATTTAGGCCATATCCAACGGTTCTGTTGCACGAAAAACCAGTAGCGGCTGGTTTAAAATCTGTTCTGTAGTTAGAGAAGTCCGATTTCAATCTCCATCGTTCCAAAGTTATTGATATGTAATGCATTCTATATAAAAACATCAACACGATCCGACGGTTAGATCTTCCGATATGGCATCCGCACGAAAACTGCTACGCCTAAAAAAATAATTTTTTTCCTCTTTTTTCATCTGTTCTTTGAAAGGAGAATCGGAAGCCGGCGTCAGCGCCACATGCGGCTGAGTGGTCTCCATCGGTGAGCAATGGTGTACATAACTGCAAAAAAAGGGATAGAGAAATCGAGAGAGACAACGAACAAGAGAGAGATTTATGTGAAGACGAAAGAGGCAACATCGGCGGTGGCGGCAGAGGAGGAAGTTCGGAATTTTCGGAGAGAGTTGAGAGATTTAGGTGGAGATGTGAAGAATAGAGATTGAGGCAAATAATTATGATTTAGGGTTATAGTAGTTGATTGTATTTTTGTTTTCTCACACTAGTTCATGAGTATCTCACTAATTAAGATTAGATTGTCGGTGTAAACAAAAGTCTTGAAAGTCAAATGAATTTTACTTATAATATTTTCCATTTGAGAGGTATTGCACATTTTCCCTAAATAAAAAAGGTGGGTTGAAGTATTTAAAAAAAAAATTCTTATTTTGATCTCTAACAACGTATTTAAAAAAAATTAAGATCTCTTTTAAAAAAATTACCAAACACTTTGAAAGAGCTTATAAGCTCAGAGCATCTCGAATGCTTAACTCAATCTCTAATACTTAGAGTGCCACATAGGATATTTAGAGATTTAAAAAAAATCATCTTCAATGCAAATCTTAACAAAAATCTCCATATGATATGGCAATGAGGTGGTACTTGCGATATAGAGATTCTTATGATGACATTCTGAAATTGGATTGTCATCTCGAGGATCCTCAAAGTGCCAACTCATCACTTAAAATAAAATTTTCTTTCAATTTCTATTAAAAAAATCAAGATAATTAAATTATCTTCAAACCGGAAATAAATTTCACCAAAGCTCTACTATTTTCCCACTTTCTTCTACACTATTTTATTGGAGTTATATGTTTCTATAAGATTCCACTTTCAGGTAAAAACACTAATTATTACTTCATTTGTTTTAACAATAATTTTCCATACAATAATTTGTCCTAACAATAATTTTCCTCGAAATCTAATCAATTGAATTAATGTGATTCCTGACCTAAAATAAATGAATTATACGCGTGATCTATAGACATTGCTAGGTTGTAAACAATATATGTTCATGGTTTAACGAAAAGGAAAAATATCAATTTAAAATTGGTTCGTTAAAATATTTAACTATTGAATGTTCATAAAAAAAGCCTATTTACTTCTTTTTCTGTCTCCTGAAATAAATATGAATAAATCCTACTTGTATTAAATCAAGAATGAAATCGGAAATGAAATTTTTTACTCTTTTTGGCGGCCTTTTTTTTTAATAAATTAATAATTTTAATTTAAAAGCCCAATAATAATTACACCAAATAAATGTTTTTGAGTCTTGAGTGTTGCATTGGAGAAGACTATGTAGTTGAGTATCTCAATCTTGCCAATTAGGATATATAAAATTTTAAGTTGGTACTTGACACCTAGAATTTTTAGAGTTTTTAATTTTAGTTTAGCATTGGATATGCTCTCACACCCTCTTAATTTGGTATATCTATAATAAATTATTATTCCACCCGTTCTTAAATAAGTGTATTTTCGTACTTTTATCAAGGATTAATAAACTCAATGTGGCTTGATTTTAGAAAAAAATACATAAAAATGATTAAAACTGTTACGAACTCTAGGAGGTTATGGATGACCACCATTTCTCCCACCACTATTCCCACCATTTACTCACTTTTATAGACCTATAAGTCCTTGTAACTCATGAGATTTCATGATCTTGTACTATATATATTGATCCATTGTATTCAGTTGGACACATAAAAAGAACAAGAGAATAATATATTTGTTTCTGTCTATATTGCTATCTCAATTCCTCTTTACTTTATTCTTTCTTTATTAGTTTCCCAACACGTTATCTGCACGATTGTTCTACTTTAATTTTCGAGTAAAGGTGATCCAAAGAGGATAACATCTCAGTCATATATGAAGGAAAAATGATACATTATTGAAATTGTTGATCACGCTCCCCCTGATTTCAGCATGAGACATTGGAGTAAGATCGCCGACGTATAGATTTGCAAACTCGTTATTTGATTGTCATCAATAAATGTCAATGTCGTCTTTCTTCTTTAACTCTCGAGTACTTTAGAAAATTCAATAATTCTTCGGCCACCTCCCTTGATATAGGCAAAATGTCGTTGGTGCAATTAGATAACATTATCCTCATATACTAGGACAAATGTTTTCACTATCTTCTCGACGACACAAATACATTTCTTATCTCCAAATATCGGATAATTATATGTTTACTCAA